AAATTGACAACCGTTGGATCGGGACGACGCTCTCAACATACGAATACGCGATAACCGACAAGACAGTGTTTATAATGCGAGGACGGCTCCACCAAGCACTACACTGGTGGCGCTCCTGGTGCGATAGTAGCCTCATCCTGACTATTATCTCACACGGATATTGGTTCCCATGGAAGGATGGGCCCCCGACACCTTTCGAAAGGAAAAACCACGCAGGCGCCCAGACGCATTCGGATTTCACACGCGATGCCATTCAGGACCTCCTGCGAACAGGAGCAGCGGCAAAAGCTCCTGACCGATCAACACTACTATGCATTAGCCCACTCAACGTGGTCGAACAACGAGAAAAATGTCGGCTCATCCTCGACCTGCGGAAGGTCAACGAGCACTTGTGCATTCCGAAATTCAAGTACGAAGGCCTCGCCCGGGTAGAGGAGTTGATCCAACCGAACGATTGGATGCTATCGGTTGATCTCAAGTCAGGGTATCATCACGTGGACATCCATCCCACCTGCTGGAAGTACTTAGGATTCCAGTTCGAAGGCAACTACTACTTCTTCCAATCCCTGCCATTCGGTCTGGCCACGGCCCCTTTCATCTTCACGCAACTCATCAAACAGCAGGCCCGACGATGGCGATCTCTCGGGTGGCGGGTTATCCCGTATGTGGATGATATACTGATCCTGGCAGAGACCGCACAACAAGCGGGAGCCGCATGCGCACAGATCGTCAGGGACCTGAGGGACGCCGGCATTGTAATCAACGAGAAAAAGTCGCGTCTGGTCCCCACACAGGAGCTTCGCTTCCTCGGACTCGAGTTGAACACACAAGTCGGCAAATTCTCGGTCGGAGAAGAACGGCGCTCCCTGTTACGAGCGACAATCACAAGTCTCATCGATTCCGGACGCGCTGGTCACCACGTGAACGTTCGTCAAATCGCTCGAGTGACTGGAATGCTTGCTTCCATGAGCCTCGCTTTGGGCGCAACCGCGCGAGCCTTCAGCCACGAGCTATTGCAACCTATCAACAACGCGCCCTCATGGCACTCGAAGGTGTCGTTGTCAACTGAGGCCATCCACGAACTGCACTTCTGGGTGGAACAGTTCGACCGTTTCAACGGTGCACCATTCCATCATCCGCATCACTACGACGCCATCATCCAGGTGGATGCCAGCGCGCATAGCTGGGGTGCCACCCTCTCTACTTTTCACGGAACACCGAGCAACGCAAGCGCTGGCATGCCCGACAACCTCTGGCCAACCTCAAGTACACGACGCGAGTTGGAAGGCGTGCTCTGGGCGCTACGCACCTTCATGGACCGTCTTCGACACGGCCACACGTTGGTTCGCGTGGACAACCAAGGGGTCATGTTCATCCTACGAAAAGGCGGCTCGCGCAATAATGAGCTCACGCTCACTTGCAAAGAGATCATCACTCTATGCACGGACAACGCGGTGCGACTAGCCATCGAATGGATTCCCAGAGATCAGAACACTTGCGCGGACGAGCTCTCAAAGCTGCAAGACCACGATGACTACACGTTGAAACAACCTTGGTTTCGTCTCTTGGACCGTCGGTGGGGGCCTCACTCCGTCGACCTGTTCGCAAATGCACAGAACGAATTGCTGCCTCGTTTCTTCTCTAAAGTCCCTCACCCGCGAGCCGAGGCCATCAACGCATTCTCCAAGGATTGGCACGGGGAACGGGGCTTCGCATTTCCGCCCCCCCACCTCGTCCCTGCAACTCTCCATCACGCGCGTCGCACACGGGCAAAGCTAACCCTGGTGATCCCTGAGTGGTTAGGGGCAGCCTGGTGGCCCCTAGTGCAACCGGCCCCTCAAACATGGGCCATAGGAATTACTAGCCACCTTCGCCTCGCAAGCGGGAGTCAGTGCCTCCAACCAGGCACACACACTACTGCATTCTCAGGCACTGGATTTCCCAATAGCCCGATGATTGCATTGTCCATTGACTTTACAATGTAACTCATATACATTCCATGTATGGCAGATATATTATCCAGCCTTCAAAAGCAACTCCTCTCGGTAATCAGCCAAGTACGAGCTCCTTCAACAATCCGCACCTACGACCCCTACTGGGGAAAATTCCGATCATTCTGTAACAAGCTATCACTGAGCTACCTACCCGCCACAGACTTGACACTCGCGATGTACCTGGTATACGCCCTCAACAAGCACGCCACCCTGTCCGCCATCACGCTGACCTGTTCGGCAGTCGCATTCGCACACAAGATGACTGGCCTTACCTGTCCCACGAACGGCCCCTTCAATTCCCAGGTCCGAGAATTCGCCAAGCGCCACTCCCCGCACCCAAACAGGACTAAAAAACCCGTGTCTCTTCACCAGGTTCACCAGATGACACACGAGTTCATCGCATCCGACATTCCCTCCGTATTCCAGAAAGGCCTCATCCCACTGCTCATGTACACGGGCTTTCTCCGCTTCTCGGACCTCGTCGCAATTCAGTGGCAAGACATCCAGTTCGAGGAGGCGGCGATGTGGCTATTGATTCCCCACTCCAAAACGGACCAAGAAGGCAAGGGAATATGGGTCCCAATCGCGACTACACCCGGACCATATTGCCCAGTAAATATCACCAGACAGTTCATCTCGCTTGCCGGCTATGACGCCTCGACCAAAGGACCACTGATACGGGTGTTCACACGTGACTCCAAAGCAACTCCGCACGACCACGCGCCTTCGTACCCAACTGTTCGCAATTGGTGCTTGGAAGCATTCAAAAAGGTTGGCCTCAACGCCAACCACCTTGGCACGCACTCCTTCCGCAAAGGAGCAGCAACAACGGCGGCAGGCATCGGAGTCTCAGATAGGATGTTCAAGCGGTTGGGCCGTTGGTGTTGAACAGTAAGAGTAGGGCCTAGGCTTAGTAGCCTAGGCCAAAGGGAGTCGAGAGAGTATAGCCAAAAAGTTTGAGTTCACTATTGAGCGAGGTACAAATAGTAAACAAAGCATGCAAAGAAGGTGCACCACCAATAAGTTTATAATAACTACACTAACTACAGCTACAGGCAGTTACAGATATATTCTAACACTCCCCCATAACTGCCTGCAGCAAGAGTCTGTGCAGCAACACATCCTGGATGGGTACACCACGAACAGAGAAAACAGCATCACACTGGGGGGGGGCTGGTTGGTCTCACACCCGCCGCCCCAATGCCACTCCCCTGGCTCCCCCACACCCTCACACCCTCCCCCCCAGCGGCAGCTGCAACAGTGGGAACGAAAGGAGGAGGGGAAGGGAAACACACCACCCTCACCACCCCCAAACCCCAACACAGGGCAGGGCCGTAGCAGGGGCGGCAGCAGGGCAGGGACGGGACAGGGCCGGGGCAGGACGACAGGGCAGGGCAGGGCCGCGACGAAGACGGGAGGGGCCGACGCGCGGCCCCCCCAGGGCGCCGTGACGGGCGACAGAAGGGGCGACGCGCGGCCCCCCCCCAGCGTGCGGCCCCCCCGGGTCGCCTCGACAGGCGACGGGAAAAGGCAGGGGGGTGGGGGGGGGTGCGCGGGCCCCCGGTGCGCCCGACAGGCGACGAAACCGCCGCACGCCTCGGGGCGCACGACGGGCAGGGCACCGTCGCGCGCCACGGGGCGCACGACGGGCAGGCAGGCAGGGCACCGTCGCGCACCTCGGGGCGCACGACGGGCAGGCAGGGCGTCGCGCGTTCAGCAGGGCGGCGCGACAGGCAGAAAACCGCCGCGCGCCCATAGCGCGCGATAGGCAGGACAGCAGCGGAAGACTTGGTGGGCCCGTTAAGGAAGGCAGCAGGAAGGTGCCTGCTCTGAATACCATGTTGAACAGTAAGAGTAGGGCCTAGGCTTAGTAGCCTAGGCCAAAGGGAGTCGAGAGAGTTTAGCCAAAAAGTTTGAGTTCACTATTGAGCGAGGTACAAATAGTAAACAAAGCATGCAAAGAAGGTGCACCACCAATAAGTTTATAATAACTACACTAACTACAGCTACAGGCAGTTACAGATATATTCTAACAGTTGGTGCAGCGACAACGCAAAAGACCTCTACGTCACCATCGCACACGACCAGCTTGTGGCTGCCTCCCAGGTGATTCAGGATCCTACACGGGCTCCCTCCCGGAACCAGCACCAATTGTCTATCCAGCGGCATCGCCGACCGACCACTCGCTTGTCTCAGAAGGCCCATATGAAATGAAGCACAATGCCTTTACAAGTTGCAGAAAGCAAGCTTTCACAACATGTAAATTTTAAAAAGTGTGTAACACTTTTCAAAATTGTGTATTGTGAAAGTGTAGCGATTGCCAACGCAGCAAAGGCAGCGTCGCATCGCTACTCGCCCTCTTTTGGCTACAAAAGAGGGGGTTGAGGCCATTCGGCCTCACCCACGTTCTTCTTTTCAATTTCGAAGTTTGAGTTTCCCACCCACCCACCCAGGTAGTCATTGTCTCTAAGATTCTTGCTGTAATCGTAGTTATCATTGGACGAGATTGATGTACTCATACCCATATGAAATGAAGCACGATGCCTTTACAAGTTGCAGAAAGCAAGCTTTCACAATAGAGAGCATAAAATCATATCCAGAGGCCTGTAACTCAGTTCAGAATTTGACAACTCTGAATTATGAGGGTCTTGAAATGTTTTCAACAGAAAAAGAGGGTATCCGACACAGAAGTTTCACGTACCATATTCAAACTAACTCAATGCTTGGAATGCGAGACCCATCTCTATTAACATACATGGTGTCTGCAAGAGTAACCAGAGCCAGAACTAACGCCATGTCCACATTCGGCAAAATTCTCACGAAGTATGTTTGGGCACCGAAGACAAGGTCGCGTGCAGTGCACATGTCACGGTTCACTTCGGCCAATAGCATGTTGTTGCAGGTGATGATCTGTCATAAGGATGGCAGGGGAGGGTGAAAGTGGATACATGAAGCATTGAATAATGAAATTTTACAAACAGATGCAGCAGTTCAATCTGTCACACTCTAAGATGGGGAAAAATAGATGTGCCAGGGAGGGGTCTGGGAAAAGGGTGAGAAGCTGGTACCTTGAAGTTATGCTGGAGAATGGAGCCAGTAAGGTAAATGTCCGGGTTTTTTGTTACATTGCCCCGTAAAAACACCTACAAGCAGAGAGGAAGGAAGCAAGAGGTTGAATAAGGTTGATGAGAAAAAATCTAGGTGGAGAATAGACTGGACAGAAGGCACCCAAGAAATGGAGAATGGACAGCGGAGTGAGTGATAGGAAGAGTAAATAGAAAAGATAAGGTAACAAATAAAAATGGGAAAGTAACAAATAAAAATGGGAAAGAGAAAATGGCAGATCGATATTTGGGACCCTGTAGCAGCATGCGCACCTCAATAACGGGTCGAAAGGTGATGTAAGGCCTCCTGGCTCTAAGCAAGTGACCCTCGGTTTCTGTGCTGCTCCCCTGGCAGAGGTAGGTGGTGTTGTGCAAAGTTAACACCTTCCCTACTAGCATGCACACGGGTGCTCCTGTGGCGTCCTGAATTTCCGTCTTGTTGGGAATGGATAGCAGCCTGGTTCGGGACAATCAAATCGGTTAAGATGGGAAAAAAGTTAAAGAGTATGTATAGCTAGTCTAGTAAAATAATTATATTTAACAGTGGCAGAGGCAAGGCAAATTCAGGAAAGGGAACGCAAAAAGCCTGACGGAAAGACCTGTTTACAACTTCATTAAGGACTCGTTAATCAAAGAGGGTTCCGTGAAATGAATTGAGGCCTCACCTGTTTGCGACTTTGAAGTGCAGATTCCCGTTTGTATCTTGGACCTTCTTCGCTTCGCTTAACGAGAACATCTTCTCCTTCATTACAAGCACAGTCTCGTACGGTAAGCAGTACTGCGACCCCACGACCGCATACGGTTGTGACGGAACTTGTGCTTGAGGTGCAACGTAAGGAGGTGGAGGAGCAGCACCGTGATACGGCTGCTGGTGATAAGACGCTCCCGCTTGAGGCGCCGCGGGATAATGGCCGGGATAAGCGTCGGAGTGCATGCTCGCCATAGTTGCAAACGCACCCAAGTTTAAAACGATTCGAGCGAGACGATACGGCTTGTTTCAGGATGCTCGGTGCTCAGAATGCTTCCAGTGGTAGATAATTTCCGTGGAACAGGAACTTACGAAATGTAAGCGGTAAAGGCCTAATATAATTGTGAAGCCTGAAGTGTTTACGATTAGAGCCAGCAAAGTATCACTGTTTGATGCCGATGAAATAGCCATACCCAAATACTTTATACGATCAAGAAGAAAAAAACGGCGTGGGAGACTGCGTATGGAGCAATCGTGAGCTAATTTCCCGCAGCGCGGTCCGATCCATGGATTAGTGTGCTGATGAGTGGGTGCTGTTTTGTGCCGTGCAGAGCAGAGTTGGGCTGAATCCGCGAGATCAATGGTGGAGGGGAGGAAGCAGGAAGCAGGTGAGCCGTGTGAGGAAAGGTTTCTCAAGCGAACGAAGCGGTGTGAGGAAAGGGATGCTGGCGAAGTCACGGCGATGGCTCGCGATGCGTGCGAACTTGGTGCGACGGCAATCTCAAAGGGAAGCTCGGCGGGGAAGTTGGAAGGGAGGAGATGTGACAAGCTCTGAAAGATAATTCCGTTACTGTCAATACCCGATACGAGGGGAATCACGTCCACGAAACTGCTATGAATGACTGCAAACATTGAACTAGACAAACAGTCATGGCTTTCCACACAAGCCAATATGGTACATCTCAAACCAAGAGTTTCGTATGTGGTACATGAAAGCTGGAAATTCGGCCATGTGAACTCTACCAAGCCAGACTATATAGCAATGGCCGATTTGCAGGCCAATGCAAAAACAAACCAAATCTACCTACTCGTCGGCAGTCACACATTTTGATGAACCGTCATTATTCCTCAGGTATCAATCGTCCAGTTCCTCCAGCCTCCCACCTGCCGTTTCCCTACCCCTCCCTCCCCACCGCCAACTCCTTTCCTCCTCCCTCTCCCTCCACTCGTCACTCCCCGCTTCCCCTTCCTTCCACCTGCCGCCCCTACCGCCGTTCCCTTGCTCGAACCACTTGCACTGCCGCTCTGAGGGGAATCCCCTTCGCTCTGCTCGTGGTTGGAGCTCCTTAGGAACATGCGTGGAATTGTCATTGCCGGCTTGTCTGAACCCAGGGAAGACACTTCCAACCCCCCTCCTCCTCTCCCACTCCCTCTCCCTCCTATCCCTCCTCGTCCTCCTTGTTCGTCCCTCTCGCTCGTTTCCGTTCCTCTCCCTCCACTTCCCTCTCCTTGTTCCTCTCTTCCCCCTACCTCCTCTTCCTTCTCACTCCCTCTCTTCGAACCTCCCCTCCCACTTGCATGCTCCTCCGACGCCCCAGTCCCCTCCCCGTTCAGATAAGCTTGCTCCCGACCCTGACATTCCGAACCTATGCCAGCGTGGCCTTCCGAACCTAGCCCCCCAACTATCTCCGTTTCGCCGGACCTAGCAGGCCCCATCCACTCGCCCCACGTGCCGTTGCTCATGCCCGGGCCACTGCTGCCGATCCGAAATGCAGCACCAGCCATAGCCCCAGCTACATCCGCACAACTGCCTACAACCACATCTTCCCCTTCCCCTTCCCCTTCCCTACGCCCGCCCATGCCTGCTTCACTCCCACACGCTGTGGCTGGCCCTTCTCTGCTCGTATCCCCTCCTTCAGCTGGAACAGCAATATTGGCAGACGCCAGGGGTGGTGTGCTGTTGGCAACAGTGCCTGTAGTGGTGGGAACAGCAGAAGGATAACTTAAAGGCAATGCTTGACATCCCTCACCCTGCAGTCCATTCGCCTCTCGATTCTCCCCTCTATCTCCCCCTCTTTCTCCCTCCCTATCGTCCCCCCGTTCCATCGTCCCCTGCTGTCCCACACACTCCTTCTGCCCATCCCCACCCTGTTCGCCTGACAGCGCAAGCATAAGAAGATCCAAGGGTGAAGAGTCCTTCCCCTCACTGCAACTACCACTGCCAATACCTCTGTCACCACCGTCGTTGTTGTTCTCCTTGCCACACTTCCCACCTCCATTCAGCTGTACTGACTCTGTCGCTGCTCCCCTGTGCCCCGCAGAAACCCCTTGCTGCTGTGGCACCTCCTGCAGCTGCCCCTGCTGTTGCAGCTGCTGCTGGTGCTGCTGCTGCTGCTGAAACCCCTGCTGTTGCTGTTCTTGCAACCGTTGCTGCAGCTCCCGCTGTCGCTCCTCGTGTCCCACATCCCCCCCCCGACCACCCACCTCCTCAGACTCTACTTGTGTCTCCTGAATCGCCTCCTCTGAATCCCCCCCATTCTGCTCCCTTCCATTCTCCTCCATCCCCCCCATTGCCCCAATCACCCGCATTTGCCCAATTCCGCCTATCCGCTCGTCCCCCTCCCCTTCTCCCAAATCCACTGGTTGAGTTGCCTCAAAGCACACCACATGCTCTTGTGACGGGGGCAGGGAAGGCAGAGAGGAGGGCAGGTGCTCTATAGGGGGGAGCTCCTGACTTAGAAAGATGGGAGTGGACGGAAGAGGCAGCTCCTGGCTTGCGGGGATCGACCACGGTTCCTTAAGCGAGTCTCTTAACGGCTCTCTAAGCGACTCCTTTAGCGCATCGCTCACAGCAGCAGCAGTGATTGTACCACCAGCACCACCAGCAGAGATGGCAGCACCAGCCACAGCAGCAGGGGCGCCCTTAGAACCACCACCCCTGGCATCACCCCTGGCAGCAGCAGGAGGGGAGAATCTCCTAGGAGCGGGCTTCCACAGGCTTTTGCCTTCCACCCCTGTACTCTCCACCACCTCTCCTACTCTCCTATCCCCATCACTGCTCCCTGCACCGGTGTGTGTGCCTCTACCACCGCCCACACCAGTACAGCCTACACCAGGTGTACCTCCCTCTGCACAGCCCGCCTCCATGTTCCCTGAGCTGGCAGCACTGGCTGCCACGTCAGCAGATGAGGGCACTCGGGGCGTTGCTGGCGCTGCTACAGCTGCTGCATCGGCTGTAGTTGCATCAGATACAGCCACACTGGCGGCTACATTCCCTGCTGCTACAGCCGTTCCTGCTACAGCCCCTCCTGCTGCTGCATCACACTCTGTTTTCTTAGGAGAGCCATCAGTGTGCTCGTCTGTGGGCGTGGAGAGGAACCGGAACGGGTATTCATCCGGGGTACCCTGGGAAAAAAGGACTCCTTGCGAAAAGAGAGCGTTCTGGGAGAGAACAGGCAGCCCCTCCATCCCATCCTGCAGGGAACCATGCCCTTTGTGGCCCTCGTCCCTCCCCTCTCCCTGCTGCTCCTGTGGCTTTGTTGCTGCTGCTGCTGCTGCTGCTGCTGCTGCTGCTGCTGCTGCTGCTGCTGCTGCTGCTGCTGCTGCTGCTGCTGCTGCTGCTGCTGCAGTTTCAACTGATGCTTGCTGCTGCTGCTGGTTTTCGTGCTGCTGTTGATGAAAACGCTGCTCCTGCTGGTAATTCTCCTGCTGCTGTTGCTGCTGCTGCTGCTGCTGCTGGTGATTCTCCCGATGCAGCAGTTGCTGCCGCTGGGCCTCCCCCTCCTGCAGCCCCACTCTGTGCCTCTGTGTCGCTTCCTCCAGAGTCATTGCCTCGCTGCCTGTCTCCCACTTCCCTGCCGCCCCATTCTCATCCTGAGACCCCATGACGTGCAACCCCATCCCATGCACCTGCCCTGCATCCACCTCCCCCAAATGTCCCCCAATCTCCCTTTCCCCAGACTCGTTCAGCATACTGTTCTCCCTGTATTTCCCTGCCTCTTGCGGCTGCTGCGCCTGCTGTTGCGGTTGCTGCAACAGTGGCGGCTGCTGCTGATGATGATATTGCTGTTGCTGTGGCTGCTGCTGTGGGTAATCCCCTGTCTCATTAGCCTGTTGGTACCCTCCCCCCTGCTGCTGCTTCTGAGCCAAGTATTGCCTTAGAGCAGTGGCAGGCAGGCTGGCAGCAGCAGCGGGTCGCATGGCAAGGGGAGCTGCTTGTATCGATGCCTGTTGTGGGGGAGAAAGAGGATGGTGGGAGAAAAGGAGAGAGAAGAAAGAGGGCGACATTCAAAGACGAGTGAGAACAAGCTCGCATGTATGTGTGCCTGTTCGTGCACGTGCATGTGCGTGTGGGTGCGTGTGGGTGCGTGTGGGTGCGTGTGGGTGCGTGCGTGCGTGCGTGCGTGCGTGCGTGCGTGCGTGCGTGTGTGTGTACGTGTGCGCGTGTGCGTGCGTGTAAGTGTGTGTATGTGTGTTTCAGACCAACGCTCACCTCCTGTGAGTGTGAGTATGAGCCAATGTCCGAGGCACTGTCTCCCAGCGACTGCTCATACGCCCTCAGGTCGCTCACTCCTGCACTGCCCACTAACTCTGCAGCAGTAGCAGCTGTAGCAGCTTCAGTTCTGGGGGTAGTTGTAGCGACATGGTTACCCTGCTGTTGCTGCTGCTGCTGCTGCTCCTGCTGCTGTTGCTGCAGTTGGCATGGGACCAGCCGCCCTGCTTCTCCACCCCAGCCAGGCGGTTTCAACGCCGCAAGACCTGAGGCAGAGTGCGCGGAAGGGGGAGTGATGGGAACAGGCATGGCAGTGCTACTTGGAGTGACAGGCTCAGCAGCACCGCCACCACCAGCAGCAGCAGAAGCGCCAGCACCAGCAGCACCAGTGTCTAGGGGTTTGAAACCGCCGAGCCCCACCCGTCTCTGTGTGTTAGGAGGAGGAGAAAGGAACATTGCCCCAGCGCTGCCACTGCCATGCCCACTGCCGCTGCTGTTGCTGGTGATGCTGGTAGTTTCACCTGCTGTCACACCACCAGTACTGGCACGAAGAGAACCACCACCACCACCAGCACCAGCAGCACCACCTTTCCTACTGAAAGGAGTAAATCCTATACCAGGAACGCCAGTGTTTGGTGGTCCTGCTGTGCCTAATAAAGCCCCCTCCTGGACCCCACAGGGGAGTGCTTGGTTGTGGAAGGAGAGCAGTCGAGCAGGCCCTGCAAATGCGCCTGCTGCACCTGCTGGCGCTGCTTCTGCTGCGGTTATCAGATCAGCACCTGAGAAAGCACCTGAAATAGCACCTGAGGCAGCACCTGCTGCTGTGGAAACAGGAGAAGCTGCAGGGAGTAAGGGTGGTGAGTGGTGCCCTGGTGGCAAAAACGCCGCACCAAACGAGGCAGCGGCGGCTGACATGGGTGATGGTTGCGATGCTTGAAATGCACCCCTCGTTGTCAGCACTCCCCCCTTAGCTGCCCTACCCCCTCTAGATCCCCCCCGACCACCCTGGCTTACTCCCCTACCTCCACGCCCTCCCCTTCCTCTCCTTCCTGTTGCTACAGCTGCTACAACCGAACCCACTGCTGCTAAAGCCGATCCTCCTGCAGCTACAAACACACCTCCTCCTGCCCCTGGTACCAACCCCCCTCCTCTTCCTGCCACTGCTGCTCTAGGCGTCCCTGCCATACTCCCACCCCCATCCCCATCCTCGTCATTAACATCCTCGATATCATCCACTGCCTCCTCCTCCTCCCCTTCCTCCTCCTCTGCCCCTCCACCCTCCCCTTCCCCTACTGCTTCAATGTCCTCTCTCCCCTCGCCCCCACACTCCTCGTCTGCCCCTTGACCAAGGGGGGGCAGTGAACCCTCTCTGCTGCCTGCCCGCGTGCCTGAACTCTGCCTCTGCTGGATCTGCGGGTGGGGCAAGGATGGGGAGAGGGGAGAGGAGTGGAGGGTAGTGGAAGGAGTGAAGACACAGCAGACAAAATCATGCAGGCGGCAGTGACCCCTCCCTGCTGCCTCCTTGCGTGCCTGAACTCTGCCTCCTTGCTGGATCTGCAGGTGGGGAGAGGGGGAAGAGAGGAGAGGAGAGGAGATGAGAGGAGAAGAGAGGAGGCACAACACACGATGTCAAGCAAGGGGGCAGAGACCCCTCCCTGCTGCCTGCTCGCACACTCCTGCACAGCTTTCCATCCAAGCACCAATGTAACAGCGCCCTGACAAAAACACTCACCTGCTAGGGCACCTTTGCAACCACCCACTCGCCCTACTTCTCCTCGCGCTGTTCCCCCATGTGGTGGTACTGGTGCGAGATCCAGTTCGCCTTCCTGTCCTTCCCACAATGCAGCAAGTAACACTGTAGACTGTAAAAGCACCCTGCCAGAACCCCTTACCTGGTAAAAGACTTTCGACACCACCCACTCGCCCTCCTTCTCCTCGCCCTGCTCCCCCACGTGGTACTGGTGCATGATCCAGTTGGCCTTCTGGTCCTTCCCATCCCACCATCCAACCATCCAGCCCCCCGCACCGCTTTTCAAGCAACACTGTAATGGCAACCTGGCAAACCCCCTTACCTGGTAAAACACCTTCGAAACCACCCATTCGCCCTCCTTCTCCTCGCCCTGTTCCCCCACGTGGTATTGGTGCATGATCCAGTTGGCCTTCCTGTCCTTCCCACAATGCACCCCAATGCAGCAAAGCTTTCCAAGTAACACTGTGGTCTTTAAAAGCACCCTGTCAGAGCCCCTTACCTGGTAAAACACCTTCGAGACCACCCACTTGTCAGAATGTTATTGTTCTCTAGCCTGCAGTGGGGTACTCTATAGCGAGTACAACCCCTTAGGGTTTCCTATATGTATCCTGCTGCTTTCTAGTGAACACCCTCCTTTGCTTATTCTCTCTTGCCTAGCTAGGACTTACCTAGCTATGGCTCCTAACTATACTGCTTACTATCTTAACATGGTATTAGAGCACTCACGCTCTTGGCCTGTGGGCCCTACTGCTGCTTCCGCTGCTACTCTGTGTGTTGCACGCCCCGTGGCGTGCGACGGATTTCTCTTCCCGCCGCGCGCTCGGAGTGTGCGGCGGTTTTCTGCCCGCCGTGCGCCCCGAGGCGCGCGGCGGTTTTCTGCCCGCTGTGCGCCCCAGGGCGTGCGGCGGTTCTCTGCCCGCCGTGCGCCCCGAGGCGCGCGGCGGCCTTCTGCCCCGTCGGTCCGCGCGTCGCCCCCGGGGGGCGCTTCGACGGGCGACGGGGACCAGCCCGTCGTCCCCCGTCGCCCATCCTGGCCAGCGCGGGCTGCGCTAGCCCCGAGCGCGGCCCGTACGGGCTGCGCCCGGCCCGCGCGCGGCCCGTACGGGCTGCGCCAGGCCCGCGCGCGGCCCGTACGGGCTGCGCCAGGCCCGCGCGCGGCCCGTACGGGCTGCGCCAGGCCCGCGCGCGGCTCGGGCCGCCTGCGCGCGGTTCGTCGGGCTGTGCCAGGCCCGTGGGCGGCCCGTTCCTCTCTGTCCCTGAGCTGCTCGCTGTCCCCCGTGCTTCTGACGATGCCCCACCCCTGTTGCTGCCCGTTCTCCTGAATTAGGGTTTGGGGGTGAGGAGTGTGGGGGTGGCGGTTGTGTGTTACTCCCCTTGCTCCTCCTCCTCCCTGGTCTCCCACTGCTGCAGCTGCCGCTGAGAGGGGTGGGTGTGTGGGAGCCTAGGGTTTAGGGTTTAAGGGGGGTACCGTGGGAGTGGAGCTAGGGCTTGAGCAGGGGGTGTGTGAGAGGGGCGTGGGGCAGCTGGAGGAGGTTGTGTGGAGGTAGCGGTCGTGTCGCCTGCAGCGCCTGTAGTCCGTCGCCCTTGCTTCGGTAGCCAGTGAGCCTGTTGCACCAGTCGCCAGTGGGTCCGTTGCTCCTGCCGCTCGTCTATAGCCGCGGAGCCAGTTACTCCAGTAGTCCGTCGCCCTTGCTTCGGTTGCCACTGAGTCAGCCGCTCCTGTGCCCGTGCCTCTGCAGCTTCAGTCGTTGCCTCCCATCTTCTCTCCATCCACAGTTCCTCCTCCTCCTCACTTGCCCTCTGCGACTGCCTCTAGCTTTACTTGTGCATGTGAACCTGCTCTGCTGATTATACCCCACTTTGACTATGGGGGTGTGTCAGAATGTTATTGTTCTCTAGCCTGCAGTGGGGTACTCTATAGCGAGTACAACCCCTTAGGGTTTCCTATATGTATCTTGCTGCTTTCTAGTGAACACCCTCCTTTGCTTATTCTCTCTTGCCTAGCTAGGACTTACCTAGGTATGGCTCCTAACTATACTGCTTACTATCTTAACACCACTCGCCCTCCTTCTCCTCGCCCTGCTCGCCCACGTGGTACTGGTGCATGATCCAGTTGGCCTTCCGATCCTTCCCATACCACCATCCAACCATCCAGCCCCCCGCACCGCTTTTCAAGCAACACTGTAATGGCAACCTGGCAAACCCCCTTACCTGGTAAAACACCTTCGAAACCACCCATTCGCCCTCCTTCTCCTCGCCCTGCTCCCCCACGTGGTACTGGTGCATGATCCAGTTCGTCTTCCTGTCCTTCCCGCTGCCCCCTGCAGGGCTCCCCTTCTCCTCTGCCCCCCGTTTCTTGCCCCTCTGCGCCCGCGTCTCATACAGCACCAGAATCTTCTTCCAACCGATCTAATCAGGAGGGGTTTGGGGAATCAGGGGAAAAAGCAAGCAGAGGGGGTCCTTTAAGGCGGCTGGGAGGGGAACCCTCTTGCCTCTCTGCGCCCGCATCTCATACAGCACCAGGAACTTCTTCCACCCAATCTGAGAGGTTATGGGTGGAGGAAGGAAGGAAGGATCAAGGTTGGTCATATGAGGCAGCTCAACAAAACAATCTTCCTCTTGCCCCTGCCTGCGCACGTCTCGTACAGCACCAGGTTTTTCTTCCACAAGATCTAACAAGAGGGGGGGTTGGGGCGGGTGGGGGAGACGCAAGCAGGGTGAGTGCTATGAGGCGGCTGAAAACCCTCTTGCCCCTCTGCGCCCGCATCTCATACAGCACCTAGATCTTCTTCCAACTGATCTGAGACGCACGTTCAAGGGGGTGAGGACGGCAGCATAGAAGAGTCGTTTGAAGGAGGTAGCAACAGCGAGAGTCGTTTGGAGTGGCCTTAGATTCGAATCGATCGATTCAGCATGTGAGGGAGGGAGGGGTGGGGGGTGGGATGGGTCCCATACACCTGCCTCAAGCCCACCTGCTTTCAGTTACGAGCAAACAAGGGGCGAGTCTTCCCCGCCTTGTGCCACTTGTACCCGCGCCCTGCACCCACATCCGCCTTCCCTCCCCCTTTTCCCCTCCTTCCCCCACTAGCAGGCACCAGGGTGACAGAGCAGGCCCAGAAGAACTGGCACAGAGGAGAGAGTGGGTGGAGAGGGGGAGTCACGTACCTGCTTTCTGTTCCGAGCAAAAACGGGGCGAGTCTTCCCTGTCTTGTGCCATCTGTACCCGCACTCCTCCCGTCCTCCACCCGCATCCGTCCCCCCCACAGTGCCGGGTGGCAAAGCGGCAGCGGAGGGGCGATCTGAGAAGATCTTTCGTCTCTTGCGCAGCCCCATGGCATAGGCACGCGACGGGCGGTGGAAGTAGTGCCGAGTGGTGCCATCCGTCACGATCCCTGCAGGAGGAGAGAGAAGGGAACGGAATGACTGGTGGTTTGAGTCCACTCGCAGTGCGGTTTGTCCCTCTTGTGCAGCCCGATGGCCTAAGTGTACGTTGGGCGGTGGAAGTAGTGCCGAGTGGTGCCGTCTGTCACGATCCCTGCAGGAGGAGAGAAAGTGGAAAAAGGAATGCGTTGTGGTGATTTAAGCTGACTCGCAACGATCGATGTCTCGCTTGCGCAGCCCCATGACATTGGCTCAAGATGGGCGGTGGAGGTAATGCCGTGTGGTGCGGTGCCGTCAGTCACAATGCCTGCAGGAGGAGAGGGGGGAGCAGAAGGGAAGGGAGGGAAGGGAGGGAAGGGAAGGGAGGGAAGGGAAGGGAGGGAAGGGAAGGGAGGGAAGGGAAGGGAGGGAAGGGAGGGAAGGGAAGGGAGGGAAGGGAAGGGAGGGAAGGGAATGTGTTGCCTCGCTTGCGTGGACCCATGGCATAAGCGCGCGAGAAGCGGTGGAAGTAGTGCCGCGTGGTGCCGCCCATTACAATGCCTGCAGGAGGAGAGAGGGGAAAGGAATGTGCGCAGTTTGCCTCGCTTGCACAGCAGGGGCGTGAGAAACGCGGTGGAGCAGTGTCGCTTGGTGCCGTCCCTCAGTGTGTATAAGGAGAGAAGAGGAGAGAAGGGGGCAAGGGAATGCGTCGTGATTGATGTTTGGTCGACTGAAAAGCCATTCCTGGAAGTAGTCCCGAGTGGCGCCGTCCGTCACAATGCCTGCACGACGAGAGAGCGCGGAAGGGAAGGAAATGTGATGTGATTGATGTTTGATTGACTGACAAGCAATTCCTGGAAGTAGTCCCGAGTGGCGCCGTCCGTCACAATGCCTGCACGAGAGAGCAGGGAAGGGAAGGAAATGTGATGTGATTGATGTTTGATCGACTGAAAAGCCATCCCTGGTAATTAGTGCCAAGCGGTGCTGTCCGTGACAATGTCAGCACGAGGAGAGAGCAGGGAAGGGACGGAAGGAAGGGAATGCGTTGGTGACGCGACGACGAGAGGGTGTGCTGGTGACGAGACGAATAGAGGCGACGCGTGACGAAAAAAAAGTTAGAGAATGCTCGTAGTTATGGAGGAGAGAAAAAGGACGAATGAGGATTTGGCTTCATGCTGGTCGAAATTGTGAAGAGCGGAAACCTTAACCCGACGTACGCAATATTTTGCTGCCACGTCACGATGTAAACCGTGTCCAGAGACTCTAACGAAACCATGCCCGAGCAAGGAAAGCTCTTGACGGAATCTGGCAAGGACGGCGCATGGCACAAGTGCCATGCGAAATCAGGAGGAGCCGAGGCTGCAGACCGACCGACCTACCAGGCAAATCCTCTGGATAAACGCTGCAGATCCCGTCTTCGAAACCCAGCGTTGGAATAAACTCCCCCACGCGCGGGTGCTGCTGCCGGCGCGACTTCTGGACACGTGGCTTGCCAGCAACCCCCCCTGCGATATTCTCTTTCCCTCGGCTGGCTTGCCTCTTAACGCCGTGCTTTAGAGTCTGTTCATCGTCGTCTATGCTAGCGTGCTCCTCGTCAAGCTTCGCCAAGAGGTGATCCAATAACTGTACATCGGTCGGCTCGAAACGCACCCCAGCTGGGAATCCGGCCCAATCGAAAAAAGGCTGTGAGGATCCCATTTACACTTCTTAACGAAACCAACTGAATCTGTGTACTGGAGACAAAAACGCGAGGAATAAGTCGAAATAATATATAACCGACGGAGCATTAGGCCCAGTTTAACGGGTCTATTTAAGCAAAACAAACGGCGGAAAAGGCCGAGAGAAGGAAAAACTAGACAGCCAATTTTCCATTCTCCGAATCACACTCAAGAGAACCTCGAGTAATGCGAGATAAAAGAATTCGAGTTCGTATTACCCATCAGCCATGGCTGCTGTCAAGAAAGTAGCTAACTGCCTCTCGCTTGAAACCCTCGTTGCGTCTTTCTGACGACACCAGATCCATCCAACTCCTCGCGCGCTACAGTAATCACGACCCTCCGCCTCCGCTGGTTCACATTCGTTTTTCAAGGGGAGCCTCCGCCAAACCTATGGGACCGCCAACTGAAGTCGGCTGCGCCTACTTTTCCGCGCCGAGCCATCGGCGCATCACACAAGCCACAATGCCCCAGTCAGGTGCGCTTCTGTTGGCGTTTCCGCTTCCGCAGTTGTGAGCTTTCCGCGCGATGCACAGCGTCTGCTTGACGAAACGAAACCCTGGGAAAATGCTGTTCTGGTTGGCGATGCAATAGGCTATAAGTACAGTAACGATTTTACAGAAAAGAGTACAGAGTTGTTTGCTTGTTACTAATGAAGCATCTATGCTCTAGTTCTCACGTCGTTACGCGACAAAATCAAGGTAAGGATTCATTTGAACAATCAATCATAATGTCTTATATCTGATATCAACCAAACTACTATGACGTTTTTTGTAAGAAGTTTCTTAAGATCATTGTCGACTTAGACTAACAAGCAACAGAGAATCTGACCGTTCTGCACCGTGACAAAAACAAGGGAGATCCAAAAGCCTGCTGTCTCTTTCCTGCTGTTTTGTTGAGCCTCCAGCATTTCTACGCCAATCCCGCAACATCCTTCGCCCCAAACATTCCTCCAAGCGTCGCTTCGCACTTCCTTCCTCACATTGCTCAGCATTTTGGAAGACGGCACCTGGTTAGCGTTTCGGTTTGGTCGATTCTTTTCCTACTGCTTTAAAACCGTCGCCAAACCCTAACATGGCGGGTTCAAGCGACGACCACCATCACCGAAAGCGGCACATGGAGGTACGCTCGCACTCGCAGCCGCGGTTGCAGTCTCAGTCGCAGTCGCAGTCGCAGTCGCAGTCGCAATAGCAGTCGCAGTCGCAGTCGCAATCGTAGCTACAGAAAGTCGGTGGTTTTTCCCCGTCCGTTGGATTTCCACCAAGATCCCCCCAACCTTCCTAAACTACGCGCACAGTCCTCTTCCCTCTCGCGATCCCCCCTATTGCGGTACTCGTAAAGGTTAATCCTCACTCCTCGTTTCCCATTCGTTATTTTAAGCCCCAGCTCTCAGTTCCCTTCTCCTGTCCCCTGTCCCCTCCCCCAATCCCCGATCCCCATTTGTTGTCCCCATCCCCGATTTCCATCCACCATCCCCAATTTACATCCTCGTTCTCCCTCCCCTTTTCCCCCCACCCACCACCCCCCCTTTCACCGCTCACCTTTCCCCCGCTCCCTGTGTTCCCGTTTCTTCCCTCCCCCCCAATACCCTACCCCTTCTTGTCCCCACCCACCCACCCGCATGTCCTTTGCCCCGGGAATCCCCCTCTTCCCTTCCCCTCTACGATCCCCGCTCCCCCTTCCCCCTCCCCTTCCCCCTCCCCCCCCCCCACCTCCTCCCCCTCCCACTTCCTCTCCCGGCCGTCACGCGGCCAAACGCCCTTGCTCCTCGCTCCGGCAAGCTCTGCTGCTGCCCCTCCCTTCCTTCCGCCGTGCTCCTTGTGACGGGCCCCTCGGCGCCCACGCCTTTCGCTCCTCCCCACACCCCACGCCCCACACCCCAACCCACGCCCCGCCCCGTGGCCTGCCCCGCCCTCCTGCCCGCCCCATGCCCCCGCCCCGCTTCCCCCTCCCCGCCCCATGCCCCCGCCCCGCTTTCCCCCGTGTCTCCCCGGATCCGCGCCGTTGCTTGCACCCACACAGGAGTTCAGTGGCTCGCAGAATACTGGTGTGTTTGGGTGGGAGAGTGTGTGCTTGTGAGTGCGGGTGTGTGTGTGTGTGTGTGTGTGCGTAAGTGAGAAAGTATGCGTGAGTGGTTTGAGTGTGTGTGTGTGCGTGAGTAAGAAAGTATGTGTGAGTGTGGTTTGAGTGTGTGTGTGTGTGCGTAAGTGAGAAAGTATGTGTGAGTGTGGTTTGAGTGTGTGTGTGTGTGTGTGCATGAGTAAGAAAGCATGTGTGAGTGCGGCTTGTGAGTGTGCGCGAGCGCGTGCGTGTGTGTGCATTCGTATATGTGCGTGTGTGTGAGAGAGTGAATGTGGGTGTGTGAGTAATTGGGTGTGTGTGTGAGAGAGAAGGGTGGAGGTATTTGCGGGTGTTTGGGGGAAGAAGCCACACTCACCAGGTAGCCTTCCCTTATCGCTTGCTCTAGCTCCTTCCCCTTCCCCCCCCCCCCCCCCCCCTCCGCTGCCATCCCCTCTGCAAATCTCCGCCGCTTATGATCTCAACCTCCCTTCTTTTGGCCCCCCTATTTACCCCCTCCGCCCGGTCTCCTCCCCCCTTCCTCCCCCTTTTTTCACCCACTTTCCCCCCTTTCCCCCTTGTCTGAGTTTTTTATGTTTTTAGCTTGTCGCTCCCCCCTTCCCCCCTTCCCTCCCGCTTCCCAGCCCTCATTGTTTTCCTGGTTTCCCATTTGAGGCGTTTGCCCGTTTTTCCTCCGTTCCCCTTTGTGACTTTTGAGTCGACTCAAAAGTCACCTCGTTGCCCGATATTCCGCTGTTCCCCTTCGTGCATCGCTGCCTTGCCTCCGCGTGAATTGAGACATGTTTTGAGGCGCCTCAAAACTCCTCCTCCTACCCCCCCTTCTTCATTTCTCAACTCGTTTCCCCAGTTCTCCTCTTCCCCCTACACCATTCATACATCGCGCTTTGATCTATAATGCCGCCCCCCACGGTCCCACCGTGTTCAGTAAAACAGAAATAAAAACAGAGAATAATGATAAGGGAATAACATTCCTCCCTCCTTCACCTATCTCCGCCCCTACTTCCCATTCGCCTCTCGTCCCTCTCCCTCTTCCTCGCTTCCTCTCTCTCTCTCCCTCTCAACAAGGGGCAAGCAGGGGGCATCGGAGCCCCACCAGCACCTTCACACAGTCCCCTGTCTCGTCCCCCTGTTCGCTTTCCCCTTATCGCTCCCCTCCCCTCTCCTCTCCCTATTGGTGTTCCATCTACTGGTGCATGAGAGCTGCGCCGGAGGGGTGATTGGCAAGCAGGAGGGGGCATTGGAGGAGACCCACTGCCTGCATCCTCACCCGATCCCATGTCTCTTCCCCCTTATCGCGCCCGTCTCCTCCTCTCTCCAGTGGTATTTCGTCTGCTGGTGCATGAGAGCCGGGCCGGCGGGGTGATCGGGAAGCAAGGCAGCAAGATCAAGCAGATGCGGGAGAGCACGGGGGCGAGGATTCGAATGTGCTCCGTGCCTCCTACCATTGTGAGCACCACACGCTGTTGCGATGAGTCGCACGTACTGATGAGTCAAGTCGCATGCACTGTTGAGGTCGACTCACAAGCAAGCAAGGCAGCAAGATAAAGCAGATGAGGGAGAGCACAGGGGCAAGGATTCGAATGTGCTCCATGCCTCCTACCATTGTAAGCATGCACTGTCCATCTGATGATTGTGATGGTTGGATTCACTTTCTGCAAAGTACCTTGAAGGTACAACCTTCTATGTGATGAATCCGGTCTGGACATCCCAGCAGCGTTCTCCGACATCTTAAAACTCGATTGGTATCGCAGTGCCATTTCTCCTACGCGCCCTCCTCCCCATTCCTCCTCTCTCCCTTTGTTTCCATCCCTCATCACTCTCCCTCCGGCCCCGATCCTTTCACTCCTCCCCCTCCCCCTCCCCCTCCCCCTCCCCCTCCCCCTCCCCCTGCCCCTCCCCCTCCCCCTCCCCCTCCCCTCCCCCTCCCCCTCCCCCTCCCCCTCCCCCTCCCCCTCCCCCTCCCCCTCCCCCTCTTCCTCCCCCTCCCCCTCCCCCTCTTCCTCCCCGTCCCCCTCCCCTTCCCCCTCCCTCCCGGCAACAAAAAACAGAGGAGCGGCTGCTCGTCATCTCCTCGCCGCCCTCCTCATTTTGAATGCACTGTAAGGGCACACTTCCTCTTCTTGGTCCGATCCTTTCTCCTACCCTTCCCTTCCCTCCCTCCCCTCTTCCCCTCACCCTCCCCTTCTTTCCCCCCCCCACCAGCCATCAGAGGAGCGCCTGCTCGTCATCTCCTCGCCCTCCTCCTCCTCGTCTGACCCCTCACCAGCAGAGGCGGCTCTCTTCGCCATGTTCCCTGCTGCACTGCTGCCCCAGGTACGTTTTGAATAGGAAGAGGGAAAAACAAGAATAATAACGACAGGTCGCCTTTTCATCTCTGTTCCCTCACCAGCAGAGGCGGCTCTCTTTGCCATGTTCCCTGCTGCACTGCTGCCACAGGAGCGTGTTTATTGAACAGAGCAATAGTGAGTCAGTAAAAACAACAACTCGCCATCGTTATCACCTCACCGCCCTCCTCCTCATCAGACCCCTCCCTCACCAGCAGAGGCAGCTCTCTTCGCCATGTTCCCTGCAGCTCTGCTGCCCCAGTTACTTTTTGTTAAGACCATAGGAAAGCAGGTATGTTTTGTTTTCATATGTGAGGAACAAGAGTAGGAACAAAACATAGCTGCAGAGAGTAGGAACAAAGCATAGCTGCAGAGAGTAGGAAAAAGAGTAGGAACAAAACATAGCTGCAGAGAGTAGGAACAAAGCATAGCTGCAGAGAGTAGGAACAAAGCATAGCTGCAGAGAGTAGGAACAACAGGTCGTCATTTTCTGTCGCATCCTTGCCTCGCCAGCTGCAGCTGCCTCCTTATCACTTTTGAGAATTCTCAAACGTGATATCAACATGTCTGCTGCGCAACGGGCACAGGTAGGGGCTGTCACTCAGCTCTGTCTACATTCATACTTGTTTTTTATTTTTTGCGTGTGTGTGTGTGTGTGTTTGTGCCTCTCACTTTCTCTCTCTCTAACCTGTGATGTGACTTCTCGTCTCCCTTTCGCCCCAAGCAGGACTGTCCTCACCCCAACCAGAACCGCCAGCAGCAGCAGCAGCAGAGGGCAGACGAGTCGAGCCGGTCGGTCTTAAACCTGTTGGTGCCAGCATCACAATCGGGTGCTCTGATCGGAAAAGGGGGCCGGGTGATTAAAGACATCCGCGAGTCCAGTGGGGCGTTTGTGCGCATCACTGAGGGGCCTCCGTCTCCGTTCGCCCTTCCAGCAGATCGGCTTGTGCAGGTGAGAAGAGGGATGACTGGAAGTACGGGTGAGGAATGGTTCTGACTGGGAGCACCAGGTGTCGTGGGTGGGGAAGGCCGGGGAATCAAAGACATCCGCGAGTCCAGCGGGGCATTTGTGCGCATCACAGAGGGGCCTGCATCTCCCTTCGCCCTGCCAACGGATTGACTCGTGCAGGTGCTGTGGGATGGGGTGGGGTGGGGCAGAATGATTATAAGGGAGTCCAGCGGGGCATTTGTGCGCATCACAGAGGGGCCTGCATCTCCCTTGGCCCTGCCAACAGACAGGCTAGTACAGGTGTGAAAGGGTTGACGTGGTGTGGAGTGGAGTGCGGTTGGAAGGGGAGGGAGGGGAGGGTAAGGGGGATGAAGGACATTCGCGAGTCCAGCAGGGCGTTTGTGCGCATTGCACAGGGGCGTGCGTGCCCCGTCGCCCTGCTGCTGCACGGTGCACCTTACCCCCACCCCGCCCCACCCCATCCGGCCCCGCCCCACCCCACTCCACCGCATCAGATCACCGCAACAGCGCACAAGCTGGAGGCAGCACTCAAGGCGATTGCCAATATTGCAGACCCCTTTCCCTCACCTCACCCCACTCCACCCTACTCCAACCCCTCCCTCTCCACCCCACTCCTTCCCATCCCGTTCCACCCCACTCCACCGCATCAGATCACTGCAACAGCCCCCAAGCTGGAGGCAGCACTCAAGGCGATTGCGAATGTACTCAAGTGAGTCTCGCTTGTGCTATTCGTGAAGGCCTTGAAAGCAGACTTCTTATTTGACCCAATGGGTTTGCGAACGTGCTCAAGTGAGTTTCCCTTATGCTCCTTGTGAAGGCATTGAAAGCAATGCCGAATGTGCTCATATAGCATGTCCAACGCTTGTCCTTACACATAGCTTATCCTTGCATACGTTCACCTCCCTCCCTCCCGCCGCTGCAGCAGCAGTCCAACACTTATCCTGACATCAAATGTGCTTTTTGCCTATCTACCTACCTGCATTGCGACTGCCTCTCTGTCTCTCTGTCCCTCTCTGTCCATCCCCAGGGCCAACCCACCACAGGAGCCACTAGAGGAGATGGAAACAGCAGGGTCCGTGGCAGCAGCACGCTCCACCATCACCCCCTGTGCTGCCGCAGTTCGTGCCATATCCGCCTCAAAATCCATCCGTGCTTCTGCATTTTGCCTTTTTGCGTTTCTGCCTGTCGTTCTGTCTCTCTCTCTGTCTCATGTCAGAGCCAACCCCCCTCAAGAGCCGTTAGAAGAAATGGAGACAGCAGGATCAGTAGCAGCAGCACGCGCCACCATTACCCCCTATGCTGCCGCCGCTGCAGCAGCAGCAGCGCAGCAAGCAGCAGCGGCAGCCGGAATAGGTTTCCAGAGTCCTGGGGGGAGAAGAGGAGGAGGGGGGAGAGGAGGAGGTGGGAGGGGTGGAGGGGGGTGGGAAGGTTCGGGAGCCGGGGGGTACTCAGGTTCGGGGATTGCAGGTTTGGGATCTGGTTTGGCAGGAGGTTATGGCTCGCTAGGAGGTCCGGTGGGAGGCTTGGGAATTCCCCCTGCGTATGGTTCGGCAGGAGGTCCGGGGTTGTATGATGCTGGGCTGAGGATGGGAGGGAGCGGGTTAGGCTCGGGAGCGCTAGGTTCGGGATACATGGGTGCAGGCTTGGGGGGGGGTTTGGGGATGGATCTGGGCAGTAGCTATGGGGGAGGAGGTTTGGGGGGAGGGGGAGGGGGAGGGGCAGCAGCAGCAACAGGAGGATACCTGAGTTGGGGCCTGGGGATGGGGTACCAGGGTGGTGTGGGAGGGGGAGGCATTGGGGGGATTGGAGGGGGGTTAGGTGCGGTACTGGCCAGTTATCAAGGAGCAGGAGGAGCAGGAGGGGGAGCAGGGGGAGGGGGGATAGGGGGAATGGGGAGTGGCGCTGCTGCTGGTGCCTCTCTGACTGGTTTCTCTTCATCCCCAATGGGCCATGCTACCTATTCTTCTGCTTCCGGTGCTGCTGGTTACGTTGATGCGTCTGGTTACCACCCTCCGTCTGGTTACCCTACTTCGTCTGGTTACCAGCCTTCGCCTGGTGCTGGTTTTGACGATCCTTCTAGTGAGTTCCCCTGCCACTGCCCCTGCCACTGCCGCTGCCCCTGCCGCTGCTGCTGCCGCTGCCGCTGTCCCTGGTTTTGCTTTTGCTTCTGGTTTTGTTTCCCCACCTTGGCATTTCCCATATGTGCGTTCATTGCGTTACCACCCTCCGACAAGTCTCAAAGCACACCGCTCCCTCCGGTACCACCATTCCGCCTCTCTCCATTTTAAGCAGAGAATGGTGCAGGACAGGGCCGTCCCAGTGTCATTGTGCCATCTCCGTTTTCACATTGCTGAGGACAGCGCGAGTTCATTCATTATTCCCAGATTTCTTGTCATGTCCCTTCATTCACTCCATTCACTTCATTCACTTCATTCACTTCATTCACTCCATTCACTCCGTTCAGAGCGCAGGAGGGTGCAGGCAGGATGATCCTAGTCCCGTGTTGCCGTCTCCGTTTTCACATTGCTGCGGACAACACGATTTCATCAGAATCTCCCCCATTTCAAGTCTATGTCATGTCATGTCATGTCATGTCATGTCATGTCCCTTCATTCACTCCATTCAGAGCGCAGGAAGGTGCAGGATCGTCCCTTTGTCAAAACAGAGGCATCCGAGCCTGATGGTCACGGCCAGGGCCAGGGGCAGGCTCGGATTGAGCTTCAGTTGCCGGGGCAAGCGATAGGGTCGGTGCTGGGGAAGGGTGGGAACACGATCAAGAACATTCGGCAGATGTCTGGTGCTAACATCAAGGTGAGGCCATAAGATTCTGTTTCTTTGCATGCATGATGCATGTTGAGGAAGGGGATGGGGGCTGGGGAAGGGGGTTGGGGAAGGGGGGGAGGGAGGTGTCACAACCGATCAAGAACATTCGGCAGATGTCTGGTGCTAGCGTCAAAGAAAGCGTGTGAGAGGAGAAGTTGAGGCTGGTATAGCTGAATTCAGGGTTGACTGTTGGCTTCCCTGAATTCAGGGTGGGAGATTCTGCTGAATGACATCATGCCAACTGTTGAAAGCTTCTTCATCCTCGTACTAACCGTTTTTATTATCTTTTCTTTTCTTTTCTTTTCTTTACTTTCTTTTCTTTTCTTTTCTATCTGCTCGATGGCAGATCCAGCCATCGGCAGAAGGCACCACGGTCAGGATCGTCGAGATTTCCGGCACCCCAACGCAGGTAGGCTGCTACTCGGGTAGGCTGAAACTACGATAAATTCATAGCGAGACGTCTCAAAACTACATGTGAGAAGTCTAGTGGTGAAGTTAGAATCGAAGCCAGGACCAGTGACAAGATTGTGTTATGGAGATCACTGGCATACCAACCCAGATGGGCTGCTACTTGGGTAGTCTCGCTATCAGCACATTGCTGCTATCAGCACATTGCTGCTGTCGGCACATTGTTGCTGTCAGCACATTGCTGTTGTCAGCACATTGTTGCTGTCGGCACATTGCTGTTGTCGGCATATTGCTGCTGTCGGCACATTGCTGCTGTCGGCACATTGTTGCTGTCGGCAAATTGCTGTCCTCTCCCTGTCCACTCCATCCCCTTCCACTCTTCTGCACTCGTCTCCACTCTCCTTGTGCTGAGAAACGTTGTAAAAGAATGGTTTTAGTAGAATCCCCTTATGTCATTCCCTATGCATCCCCCATCCATTCTCCACCCATCCATCATCTGTGACAGGTGTCGAGTGCAGAGGCCCTGATCAAGGCATGTGCAGCTGCACGATGATGATGTGGCATTACATGATTGGTTAGGTGACTAGTGTACCTGTACTGGTATCTTTTATAGTAGTCAATAGACACTGTACGCAGAATTTATTTTTTTTTCCCCAATTTTACTCTAATGAGATTTGTTGTACCGGTGGGTGAAAATTATTGTTCATGGTTCTGCCTGATCACACCCACGATTGCAGATAGAAACTGTGAACGAAGGCCAACGCAGTTAGGTTGTGTTACAAGGCTGTGTTACAGAGTAAGATGGCATGTACTGTAAACAAGAAATGTGAATTCACCAAGAGAAAAAGAACAAAGCGTTTCAGAGAAAAAGAACAAAAGAAAGGGAAATGTACAAAAGCAAGCAGAAGGAACAGGTTATTCTAATGCAGGTAAAGAGCCAATGAGCTTCAATCAATACTGCACACCCCCTTCCCTCTACCCAATCCTCATTGGGTTGCATCAAATTGATCTCCACATTCTGCATTTAGGCTGAACCAATTCCTCCTTCCCCTTCAAGAGCCTTGGCCTCGGACTCTCGCCCCATGAATCCCTCTCCACCGGTCTCAACCCCTCCTGTCTCCCCTCCAGCAGCAGCAGCACCAGCCTCCTTCGCCTCAGCAATATCACCCCCTGAAGTCAAGTCACTCTCAGCAGTCCTCCCCATTCCCCCCTCAGGGGCAGCACCAGTTGAAAGCTTTTTCTCCCCACCAGCAGGTTCAGCACTGCCCCTTGCGCCAATGCTCTCTCCCCCCACATCTCCGACCATCATCTCAGTATCTCCTCCCCCCGTTGCGCCTATTCCTCCCCCCATCCCCCCCGCTTCCCCCCCAGCCGTTCCCCCTCCCCCCATCCCAGTGGTTCCCAGGCTCTCCCCCCCCATCCCAGCCTCCATACCACTCATATCCGTCCCTTTCCCCATCTCCCCCATCCCACCACCTCCTGCAGCAGGCACACCAGTAGCAGTACCACCACCCATACCTCCACCCATAGCAGCACCCCCCATTGCAGGTACACCCGTTGCAGTCACCCCCGTTTCAGTCACACCCGGCCCTGTCACACCCATGGGCTGCATAGTGGTAGAGTAGTAAATCGTCCTTCCCTCGGTATCAGTCACAGCAGCCACTCCCGTCGCGCCTCCCCCCGCAGTGGGGAATTCCTGGGCCGTGCAGGTGAAGCCTGGGCCTGTCGCCGTTGCCACGTAACCACCGCCGGCGTAACCGGGTGCAGAGACAGCTGTTCCTCCTGCTGCGTAGCCGGGAGCGCCAGTTGCTGCTGCCTGCGTGGGCTCCGTTGAAAACTGCTCCTGCACAAAGAGCAGAAAGGGAGAGGAGAAAGGTAAGCGACAGCGGGGGGAGAGGCGTATGGTATATGGGTTCGCTATGGACGCGTGTTGAAGAGGAAGGTAAAATCAGGCTGATATGCGTTTGTTCAGGCGGTGAAGAGACGTGTAGTCTAGCGTACCTTGGCCTGCCCCTCCATCTCCTCCCGCCTCGGCTGCTCCTGAGACATGTTGGCTCAAACGAAAAGTGGATCCGAAGACGATGATTCTTGCTCGAGAGAGTTACGATAACGTGTGAGACGAGAAGTCACGTGATCTGGCTGGAGGAACTTCGACCCAATCTGATCAACGATCACATGAACGAAGTGAATTTACAATACTGCGCGAGTCCACTGCGGCTCGTGTTTGGAGACGGAATTTTACTCATCGCTCCCAGGGTGAGGAGCGGTGCGGTGTCCGAAACTACGGCGGCGCGAAAATTCGCGATAAGGCGGCGCGGGGGTTGATGGGTGGATGGGTTGTACGTTCTGGTGGAACGTGGTCCAGGCTGCAATTGGCTGCTCGTGCACGCCATGCGCGAGAAGGGCCAGTTTGACGCTACCACGTGTCGGCAAACCTCTCCCTGTGCAGCCATGATGGACGTGAGTAGGGGATATGGTAACCAAGTGAGGTGACAAGCTGGAAGAGAAGTGAACTAGAGTGGCAATGGGAGGGAGGGAGGCTCCATCGGGAATGGATTTTGTCGTCCTATGCTTGGCGCGTTTTGTGCAGAGAACGCGATAACTTAGGTACACACATACCGGTAAGGTTATCTGCCTTATTAGTCTAATTTATGAAATCATACAAGAAACACTTTATGACATGAAGTACGGTGTATCAAATAGGCTAGCAGAGGGGCTGTAACTGGGGCCTCTAAAGTAGCTTCCACAAATTATATCATCTGCCTCAGCTCTATCGCCCTTCCAATTTGTGTCAGCACTCTCAAAAGGGTTTCCTCTAGTAGGAGCAGCATCGTCGAAAAGGCCACTTGCAGATGGACTGTTGTGCGTATGAAATTGTACATCAATGTCTGTAGCTGAAGGGCTGCAGTCCCAGAAGGGGGCTAATGAGCCTGCTCCTGGAAAAAATGGTTCTGGAGAGAGGGCCCTTGATACAAAAGGTTCTGGGGACAGTGCCGTTGTTTCTGGGGAAAATCTGCTTCCGGCAAGCACTTCAAGTGGATCTCCATCAAAACAGCCTCTAGCTTCAAAGCCTTCAGTAAACATTGGCGTCCCACACTTAGACAAACTCTCCCCTCCAAGAAATGAAGCAGCACCAAGGGAGCCTTTTGCTTCAGGAATGCTTCGGACACTGCCAAACATGACTTCAGAGACATCCCGGTGTGCTTCTTCAGATCCAAAGAGCCAGTCATATACCCCGAAATCCTCCATGTCTACATTCACGAGGGGGACCGTAGGTCTCGGTTGTTCATTCCAAAAGGCTTGTTCTGGGCTTGAAATCAGATCCCTATTAACCTACAACCACCACCATCTGTCAGTCAAGATCCTGCAAAAACATTAACATGAGCAGCCTCACCTTTCCGCCTGATGGAAGCATCGCAATGAGTTCTGGAGACGGTGCGATATTAAGCTTGCTCAAGAGCTCATCAGCTGCTGTTTTACTGCAACAAATCATGCTCAATGAGCAAATAGCAGAAACTCAATTTGGATAAATAAGCGCTGACATACCTTTCACCCTTTTGAACTGAGATGGCGTCCAGATCCATGACTCCTTTCACAACGGCCTTCAAACTCTCTTTGATCGGGAAAAGGGAGAAAGACTTGGAGTCGCGAGGGTGACCTGAAATCAGATGGAAAATGTGCCATCATTATGTGTTCGGTGGTTTCAAACCAAGCCATATGCGATCATCTAAGGACATACCCAGCAGTATCGCGTCTCCCTCTGCATCTCCAGATTCGACCGCAGCAGGTGTTTTTGGTTTCTCACAACCGAAGTGCCAGTCCCACTCGTCCTCCTCTTTTGGACCTTTGGCATGAAGCTCAGTTAAAAATAACAAACAATGTAAACAGACAGCAGAAAACAACAAAGAAGCTTACGCTGCTTCTCAGAACAACGAAGTTTGGAGCTGGGAGGAGCAGTGCGGTTCTTCATGGTGATGACGACTTCTGTATGTAACACAGAAGATGGTCAGAAACATCAGATGCAGGAGGATACAGATAAGAAGAAGGTAGCTTACGAGGTGTGATACACTGGTTCTGTCTCGAATGCACCCTGCATCCATTACATCATTAGTATTAGGAGTGTATCTGAGATTGATCAGAAGCGCGGCCTCCTAACCTATTTTCGTTCTGGTTGTTCTCGCGCCTGACGTACAATGAAGAACATCCCTCGCGCGACGTATCTATACAACAGTCAATAAGAGAAGAGAAACCTCTATCGCAACTGCTGGTAAAATATGTGCATTGATTGATTATTCCACACCTGCTGGCTTTGGCATTCGCAATGGTGTGTGCTTCTCCAAGCTACGCTTCTGAAATCGGAACGTGGTGCCTTGTTCAACTGTCTTGTTCGCATCATCCACATTGTACGAGGGCTTGACTACTCCAGTGACATGCCGCGAGGTGATAAAGCTCCGTATGGGCCCTTGACGAGGAAGCGGCAATTTCTGCTCACATTGGAAAAGTTAATACAGAAACCTCGCTCCGAGACAAAAACAGGGTGGAGGATTCAAGTGGTACGTACATCTTTCAACGAGCTCACGCGTTCTAGACCTCCCCATCCACCTCCACGCCTTCGCTTCACCATCTGCAAGCTGCATAAAATCCCTAACGAGGGTAGGGGATGATGGAAAGCGAATGCAGCGAAAGCGAACAATCCTTTAGAGACAGCTAATAGGTATGGGATCAGTGCACCAGGAGGAATGCGAAATTCGAACTGGAACTGCTGGGTGTGTGGATGTGGAGTGGAAGATCATCTCATGCGATGGTCAGGGGATTGCGTGCCAGGCGTACACGTTACGAAAATGGCTGCCATTTCCACATGTATCCACGTTATGCTTATAAACATCAGACGCATTTCCATCTTAATTCCATACAGTACCACTTCACTAACTAGGGTTTTCTGGGTGCCTATCTCAAAAAAAAAAAAAAAAATCCCCAATTAAGTGACTGGTACCATTGTTTTTCGTGAAACACGACAAATTACCATTTAAACACCTAGTCATGGCATAGCTTCGAGTTTTTGGAAAATAAGTTCTGATCTTCAAGCTTCATTATCACCTTGCAGCAGCTAAAGCAAATCCCACACGCTCAGCTACAAAAGCAGACGCTTTCTGAACCATGGTCACTCCTTCCATAAGTGCCTGTGAAGGGAAATAGGGGAGAATAATTTATCCAAACATCCCATAGAATATATTGAAGGAGAAAAAAAAAGGGAAATTTTATTGCTTTGATTCGTATCCTCACCTTGACTTGCAGTGCAATATCCCCAGTAAGCAGCACCACAGCGCCAGGAGCAACAAACTGGTGGTAGTAGAGACAGCAAGACAACACCGCATCATCAGCCGAAAGCCTCTGGCCGCTCCCACCGCTACCCCCATTGCTGCTGCCAATGCTAATAATACTCCCAGTCACATCGGCCTTCTCGTGGGCGCCCTGGGCTCGGAGCCACGAGGCTCTGCTGGCCAGGGCGTCCCTCAGCAGCCGCAGGGCCCGCCGGGCGTACACTCCCCTTGCCCTCTCCTTGTCCTCCTTTATGCCGTCCAGCTCACGCACCACTGCAGGGTGGGGGGTGTGTGGGGGAGTGGGGAGAGAGGAAGGTACAGGGAAAGGCATGGAGGCACCTCAAACAGTGTACACGTCCCCCGCTCTCTCCTTGTCCTCCTTCATGCCATCCTGCTCACGCACCACTGCAGGGTGGAGAGGGGGGGAGGGGGGAAAAGCAAGGGAAAGACCAATAAGAAGAATTTGAGGCTCCTGGAACAGCATACACTCCCCTCGCCCTCTCCGTGTCCTCCTTGATGCAGTCCAGCTCACGCACCACTGCAGGACAGTGGGAGAGGGGAGGTGAGACGGGGAAACAAAGCTTTAGGCGCCTCAAGCAGTGCACACGCCCCTCGCTCTCTCCTTGTCCTCCTTTATCCCGTCCAGATCTCGCACCACTGGGAGGGGGGGGAGAGGAAGAGGGGGGGGAGATGTAGTGGGGAGACGAAAGGAAGGCAGGGGAGAAGAAGTTTAAGGCACCTCAAAGAGTGTACACGCCCCTCGCCCTCTCCTTGTCCCTTCTTATGCTGTCCAGCTCACGCACCACTTGGCAGGGAGGAGGGGGGGGGATGTGGAGGAAATTCAGAGCAGGGTGGAAAGCAGGGGGGAAGGCACAGGGGAATAATGAGAAGCCCTTCGGACGGTGTACCTTATTACCTGCGCTCCTGTTCCCTTTCTCTTTACAAATTCCTCTCACTCACCTGCGTGAGGAAGCACCACCACCACCCTCTCATTCCGTGGAAAGCTGTCCGCCACAATCCCCAGAAGCCCAGCCCAGTTGCTGCCTGCAGCAGCCACAGCCGCAGCAGCTTGCATGGATGCAGCAACTGCAGCAGCAGCGGCAGCAACAGTGGCACCAGGGGCAGCACTACCAGCAGCAGCAGCAGCAGCAGAAGAACAAACGACAGTAGGAGCAGGGGTTGGAAGAAGCGCAGGAGCAGAACCAACAGCCAGACCTCCACTCTGTGCTTCTGTCTGCCCAACCGCTCTCTCTGTGTTCCTGAGCCCCCACGCAATGAGCCTATAGAGCGCTGCCACCTCAGCCACGTCCAGGAACACGTTCGTGTCTACCACCAGGTACCACGTGGTTACCACGTGGGAGGCGCTTGTAACCGTGGGTACAGTGTGGGTTGCGCTGGTAACCACAGGTAGGGTGTTAGGACCAGTGTTTTGTGCACTGTAAGGTGCGTGGGTAGCATGTGGATGGGATATTGCGGATACAGTGTGAGGGTGATGTGTGGCTGATTGCTGCGGGTACGACTGCTGCTGCTGGTGCTGGTACGACTGCTGTTGATGCTGCTGATATGACTGCTGGTGTTGCTGCTGGTACGGCTGCGGCTGCTGATGTTGCTGCTGCTGCTGCTGCCCCTGATCGTCCACCTGCTGCTTCTGCTGTAGCTCCTGCGGGTATGCCTGCTGCTGCTGCAGGTACGCCTGAAGCTGTTGGTGGTAAGCCAACCACTTCCGATACTCCTCGCTCTGCTCGTACTCATAGTACCTCTGCTCTTCCACGCTTTCACAGTGCTGCTGTTGCTGCTGCAGCAGCGGTTGCTGCTGTTGCTGCTGCCGTTCCTGCTGGCGCTGTTGGTGGTAAGCCAGCCATTTTCTGTACTCCTCGCTCTGCTCGTACTCCTGACAACTGCCTTCATGGTAACTGTACCCGTCCCTCTTCTGCTCCTCAACTCCCTGAAACTGGCTGTGCTCGTGACAGTGCTCTTGCTGCTGCAGATGCTGCTGCTGTTGGTGATAGTGCTGGTGCTGCTGTTGCTGCTCGTGATATTGCTGAACTTGCTGCTGCTGCTGCTGCTGCAAGTGCGGCTGATTCGTTTGCTGTTGATCCTGCCACTCATACTGTGTCTGCCTCCCCTCCAGCTGTACCTCTCCACTTGCAGGATAACTGCAATTCTCAGCCCGCCCCTGGCTCATACTCCCGCTATTGGCACTATCCGTGAAGTCATCATCACCAGCACTCGAGGACCCCTCATTCCACAAGCAGGTCAAACCGTCAGAGCCGGAGACGCTGCTGTGGCTGTAGCTGTTGCAGCCAGATGCATCGCTGGAAGCTGTAGCAGTAGCAGCACCAGCAGCGACAGCAGCAGTAGTAACAGCAATAGCGGATGCAGCAGCATTGGATGCAGGGGCGGAGAGAAGTGGTGGAAGGGGTGGAATAAATGGAATGGGAGGGGCACAAAGCGAGGATGAGGCTGGGTCCGGGGGAGGTGCAGCTGGGGGAGGGGGAGTGGCGGGAGGGGGACCTGAGGGTGGCGGGGGAACCAGGAGAACTGGGGGAACTGGGAGCAGTGGTGCAAGCGCATTCTGGCTCCCCCCAGATGCTAATCGCTCCTCGAAGGACACTCCGATCGGGGGAGGGGGCGGAGGCGTCATGGGCGGAGGACCAGGCGGAAGGGGGGGAGCTGCGCCAAGGGAAGTTACGCAAAGAGGTTTTGCGTTAAGCGGGGCTGGGCCCTGCGGAAGTGCTCCATGGGGAGCAGCCTCAAAGGGGAATGGGCGGAGATTGTTCCCCCCATAGGCGGGAAGGCTGGAGAGGGGAGATGCAGGCGGAGGGGGAGGCGGAAGGGGAGTCTCCGGAGGGGGGCCTGGGGGAAGCGGAGGAAGCGGAGAGAACGCGGCTGCATCTTCAGCTAACGGGGGCGGGGGAGGAGGGGAAGTAGGGGGGATTGCTTGGTTCTGAGCCGGAGCTGTGGGAGGCACTGCAGCAGTGGACGTAGCAAAAGCAGATGTAACAGCAGATGTAACGGCAGATGTAACGGCAGACGTAACAGCAGAGGTAGCAGCAGGACCAGCAGCAGCGTTTGTGTTGGAACATAGCTTGCTGATCGAGCGCCCTAGCCTTGCCTCCGCTGCTGCAGCAGATGCGGCGGCTGCTGCAGATGAAGCTGCTGCTCCGGCTGCCACTGCTGCTCTTGATTGAGATAATGCTGCTGAGTGGGCTACTCGTGGTGCTGCTGAGGTGGCGCTGCTGCTGGTGCAGCTCCCGCTGCCGCTGACGTGGCTTCCACTTCCGCTTTTCGCAGGAGATCCTAAAATTCTAGGCGCGAAATTGTTGTTGTAACGAGGCGGGTAACCACCGTTGGATCCGGACGACTCTTCAGGCTCCGAGTCCTCGTCATCTCCGCCAAAGAGCTGCTCCGTTATCCGCTTCTGCATCTCCAGCGACGAAATCGCCGTGTGGCGACGGGGAGCCGTACCAGCAGCACCACCAGCAGCAGCAGCGACCCCCATACCACCGCTACCACCACCACCACCAGCACCGCCGCTGCCACCACCAACAACACTGGCCCGAGCAGGTTTCTTCAATCCAAACGAAATCTTCTTCCCAAAGATTCCTCCTCGCGAACCACCGTTCAGATTGCCTTTGCCCGGAGAACCGTCCACACATTCTGAACGGTTAGCCGGCAGATTGCTGGCAAAACCGTCATCCTCGCCGGACGGCAAGGCGGGCGACGTTCCCGAGGCAAAAGCGACATTTTCTGACACCGGGTTATTCCGTCCAATGAACGCGTGCCAGCTGGCACGTCCCGCATCTGCGTGTCCCAGCGATTGGTTCTTCACCACCGCTTTCTCGCGCTGCTTCGCGCGCGCGACTCGCGCCGCCTCGGGTAACAAAGCCTGGGACTTCGGAGCCCTTCCGCTCGACCCGGAGATAACATCCCCTGAAGTCGGCGCGTGACCCGTTGCAGTGTAAGGCGGGCGACAGGAGTCCGAAGGACTTTCGTCAACAGGAGATTCAGTAGAAGGCGAAGGCGAGTTAGCTACACCTACCAGTACACTAGCCGGACTGCTGCCTTGTGTATTGTCATTACTCTTTTCCGTTTCCGTACGTCCCTGCTTCTGATATCTGCTGGGTCTCTGTGCTGCTGCTGCTGCTGGAGGTGGGGTTTGCATGGGTGGAAATTCGTCGCTGTCACCTTCGTTACGCGGTAACTCGTCGCCAGAGTTTTCGTCAGTCGTTTTCGACAATACCACTTCTTCCAGAGCCTTCATCAGCTCCTCCAGCTCTCGCTCGAAACGCGCTTCGCGTTCTTCCTCCTCTCTGCTCTCATTCTTAGCTTCAAAATTATTGTTCATGCCGACTGCTTGCTGACTGTCAACGAAATCCATGGCGTCACCCGCGTTACCGTTCTCCACGCGAGTTACAGTTCCTCCAAACACGAAAAGTTATGAATCGACGCGGCAGTCAAGGAATCGAACGTGATGACGCGCGGATTGAGAACGGTTTCCTGATCTAAGCTAACGTGTTTCTCACGAGACCATTGTCAACGCGAGAAGCAAGTGCTTAAAAAGGCTCTAGCATGATGGTGCCGATGATGCTGATGATGTAGGGAAATCTAGGGAATCCTGAAGATGGTGATGTGGAGTTAGCTGATTCAAAAAGCGAGGCAATCAAGGAATCAGAGATCAGCAATGCGCTTCGGAAAGGTGTTAGGCGATGGTGGGGTGAATCACTACCAGCAGAGAACCACATCGCGCTCGGTACACATCTCGTTCAACTAGAACGGTTGACAGCAATGTTGTCTGTTTTAGAGAGGTTAGATATTTGCACCACTCTGAACCACACTCATTACCAGTCATGAATTGTTCCATGGTTCTGTTCGATGAATGGATCCTTGTTGCTTCGCCGGCAGATGGGCGACAGTCTGACACTTTTCATAACTTGCTGGATGTTGCAATGCGGGTGTCAGAGAATTTGAACCCCCCTTCCCTCCTCTTTCTCAACACGAATCACAGGGAAAATATGCCACGTAGTAAGAATCAGGTTTAAGGTTAAGGTTTATATAAAGTCTTAATGTAAGGAAAATTCTTTTTTCCTTACTTCGCGTCCCTGCTCAGCGCGTATACCACTGTTCCCGCCAACAGCACCCAACCGTTACCACTCGCGACACTCGCCTCGACTACTGTTCGCGCCAATGTTCACGACGCGACCCAACCTCACGGTTGGGTTGGTAACCCACGATCCGGACCTCCGCCTCGACAATTCCCAACCTCGGCGCTATGCCCGTCGCGCACCCCATTTTCTTGCATTACCGTTACCAATGTAGCTTCGCTATATATTCTTCGCTCATGCCTTCACTCATTGTATTGTTTTGCTTCGATAGTGCAATCCTCGCTCGCTCACTCAATTGCACTCATAACACTTGGTATTCAGAGCCTACGATCTCCTCTCGGACTGCACCCACACCTTCGCTTCCCCACAATCTCACCTTTTTGGAGGGGGTAGACGTCTCTCAGCGAACAAGCACCGCCGCTCGAAATGCTCTCTCGTAAGCACGCACTGCCACGACAAAGGCTCTCGCTGAGCTTGCCCGACACCCCCACCGTGGCTGAACTCAATGTCGCGACACAGACGCAGGAGCAGCTCGACCGTCTTGTGCGCCAA